TGGAAAAGTAGAGCGAAAACTTCTTCCGCCACCTCACTTCTCATCTACACATCTCACAAACAATGTGGAACTATTACTACCAACAAATGATATTGAAGTTAGTATTCATCATATTTGGTGTGAGATATTTAAACAAAGTCAGATCTCAACTGATACAAATATCTTTACTATTGGTGGTCATTCATTACTCATCGTGCAACTATTTCATCGATACAAGACCGAGTTTCATTTAGAAACAAATACTCTTTCTATTACTGATCTATTTCAACATCCAACAATTTTCGATCATGCTCAACTCATTCAGCAATCTATCAATACCATTCACACTCTGGATGATTATCCTTGGTCTTCATTAAATCTTAGTCAAGGTAATCAAAACTACTTAACCTAGTTATTATCATCAAATACATATTCATCTGCTTCTTTCTCATTGTAGCTAGAGCATCATTTGCACAAGAGCGAATCTACTTAGATGAACAGATTCGATTTTCATCCAACACAACAACCATAAATAATATGTATGTTATTCCATTACTTTATCGAATATCATCTATAAATGATCGTATATCAATTACACGATTACATCATGCATTTCAAAGTGTTATCACAAAACATGATATTCTTCGAACGGCACTCTATCTTGATGCAAATGATCGTATCTTACAACATTGTTTAGATGCAAATGTCATTCTCGATAGTGATGTGAAATCACATGGATTCACAATTATTAATCTTCATACTGGTGATCATCGTCACATGAATGAAATGGTCAAAGAAATATTAAATCAATCTACTTTATTTGATTTATCAAAAGGACGTGTTATTAATTGTCATATTCTTCGTCATTGTGGTTATTCTCAAGATAGTATCCCATATGAGAATGATGACGATCTATTGACTAAAGATGACCTTATATTATTTACCATTCATCATGCTTGTTTTGATGGAGCATCAACATCAATCTTCGTTCGTGATCTTTCTCTTGCTTACCAATCTGATGACTCTTTATTTATGAATGAAAATACATTGAATTATATAGATTATTCTGTTCACGAACATATCATGGATATGTCATTATCGCGTGCATTCTGGCATTCTCAACTTGAAAGATATAACATCGAATGTTCATTATCGTTACCAGTTGATCGACAACGTTCATCAACTAATCAACAACGATCAGGTGTAGCATCCATAGCTCAAATCACTCTCGATAATGAATTATGCACATCATTTCTAAACTATGCATCATCACATCATCTCACACTTTTTCAACTTGGATTATCCGTGTTTTATGTTTTCTTATTTAAATTAACTCATGGTCAAATTGATCTATGTATTAGTTCTATTAATGCTAATCGATATCGAAATGAATTACAGAATCTAATTGGAATGTTTGTTTCAACATTGCCATATCGCTTAGAAATTGATCCTAGTTGGTCATTTGATGAAGTAGTTAAACATGTACAAGAAAAATGTTTATCAATTCTTGAACATTCTCATTATCCACTTCAACATATTCTTGCTGATTTCCATGTCACTCAGTCGAATGTATCATTTCTTGAGACAATGTTTGATTTTGTTACTGCGTCAAAGGATATGGGGCATTTACGTTTAAATGATTCAAATTTAGAACAAGTATCAGTAGAACAATCAGTTGAAGTGTCTAAATTTGACTTCTCATTAAGATTTGAATACAATTCAGTATCAGATAACAAGAAATTATCATGTAGTTTTCTTTGTTCATATGATTTGTTTGAAAAATCAACTATTTCAAAAATAGCTCAAAGATTTCAATATATGTTTGAGCAACTGTTTCGAACCGAATCAAGCAACATTCCTGTAATGAATGTGCGTCCATTGATTAACAAACTGTCTCTTATTTTTATTGAAGAAGCTGAAGAAATGGAATTAGCCGTATTTCATCGATTAGACAGTATTGTGAATGAAGGTATGATTGTATACAGCTTGTTCTATTGTCTTATAAAAGTAGTAGTTAGTTAAATCAGTAATAAGAAATATGCATTAAAGTGCATTCCAATGCACAGACATAGTATTTTCAGTGTTTTAAATGAATTCTAAGGGAATAAATAATGAGAAAATGAGGATTCAATTGGGTTATGATCGTGAATGGCTCAGGTTTTCTTTTTCAGTTGTTTTAGTTTTGTAACTTTCAAGGAGAGATCGCTGAAGACGCTGAAAGTGAGTTGGAGTCGGACTTATTAAGAAATTTTTCGCGAAAGACATTTAAGTTCAATTGTAAAGATTTCTAATAAATATTTGTTTTGAATATATGAATACTTTTGTATTTTTGTATTAATCAACAACAAATAACACTTGCCATTGCTCAAAAGTTACATATTTCGTTTGAAGAAACTGGACAACTATTATAGGAGAATCTTTTATAAGCCTGTTTATTTATAAACTGGCACTCTCTCAGAAGTAAGATACACTCGTAGATTTCATGCTAGAAAACAAATCACACTTAAGTTACTCAGACTGTTGAGCAGAGTCGGTAAAATTCAGAGTTTGTTATTGACGAGACTAGTACTTTTTGATTTCTATGTAAGCTGAGCACTAAGTATTGGCTAGGTCATTAGTTATTAGTAATAAGTTGTCGAGGTTTGTGGATGTCAAAACTGAAATTAAAGTGAAAAAATAAACATTCATGCAGTCGGATTTAGAATCAAAGGGAAGATGCTTTTCGAACTCATAGTCGGGTTGTACAGTCATAAAACACCTACATCACATAGTTCTCTACCATCAAAGATTTCTGTTTGCTTTTGTTTTCTCCCGCCGTTTATATAAAGCTAATACAAAGATATTTCTATTATTTTCACTAATTAGATGTACGTGTGTAGATTGTAAAAACTGTCAAACGTTGGATTCGGTGTTAAATCTTTTATCCTGAAGATATTAAAATACTTTTTTTTACTGTCGATGCAAAATAATGACGCATTTTTAATATTAATACCAAAGCACTACTCTTAATACAGATTCTATTCAGTTGCAAAAGCGATCAGATGAAAAGTGACTATAATATTGTTATCAGATATCATTTAGCCATCTAGCTTTTACATTATAATTGAATAAGCTTTCATTATTCTAGCACCAGCATCATTTGCACAAGCTCGTATATGGCTTGACGAAAGAATTCGATTCGATCCAGACAAGCCTCAAATAGCAATCTATAATATGCCTTTTCTTTATCGGTTGCAACCAAATCATACTTTATCTATTAAACAACTTCGTCATGCTCTTCATCTCATTGTTACCAAACATCCCTCACTTCATACAGCACTTCATTTTGATATCCAAAAGAATCTACTTATGCAACAAGTTATTACTGATGAAGGTAAAACTGGTAATAATATGTTTTCAATCTTCGAAACCACTTACGAAACACAAGAACAACTCAATGATATCATACATAAAGAAAAACATAATCCTCATCTTTTTGACCTTGCTCAAGGTCCTGTCTTTCGATGTCATACTATTTATTACAAACAAATATCTTCAAACCATCTTTTTTGTGACAAAGATCTACTTATTTTCAACTTTCATCATGCTTTGTTTGATTTTCCATCAATGAAAGTGTTTCTTCATGATCTTAATCAAGCATATACAACAGGTCAATTATCATATGATAACAGCACTAATCTACGCTATCTTGATTGTAAATATAGATACTACTTCTACTTCTATAATGCATTCTTTTCTTTACTTATATAGATGCTGTCATTGAACAACAAATGTCAATGACTGGTGCAAATATGTTTTGGCTTGATGCTCTTCATAATTGTAAACTTGATCAACCATTATCGTTACCATTTGATCGATATCGTCTCTCGAATGAACATCGAACTGGTCGTGGAACTTCTATTTCGTTTGCTTTTGGTCAAGATCTCTCACATGCCGTTCTTGCACATACATCATCAAATAACATATCGTTGGAACATCTTGCACTTGCTACTTATTATATGTTTTTATTTAAATTAACGAACGGAGAAAAAGATTTATGCATTGGAATAAATACAGATGGTCGATATAGGAACGAACTTGAATCTATTATTGGAATGTTTGTGAATGCTATACCTCTGCGATGCCAACTTGATCCTCATTTATCATTTTGTAAACTTACTGAACACGTTCGAGATATTATGATAAATTGCATTAAATATTCTTATTTTCCACTTCAATATATTCTCAATCAACATCCTAATATGTCAAGTCCTGTGTTTCTTGATACATCATTTGAATTTATATCATCTATGACAAAAGATGAGAAAAATGAAATAATGATTGATGATAGTCAGTTTTCTTTAATACCTTGTTCAATTAAGATTAGTGAAGATGAAATAAAGAGTAAATTTGATTTCATTTTTAGTTTTCAGCACGATCTGAATCTAAATGAATTCTCATGTACAATCAATGCATCTCTTGATTTATTTAGTGCGGAAACAGTTTGTATAATTGGACAAAGATTACAGACAATGTTACATCAACAATTCACATCTTTTGATAGTAAGACAAACAAACCTATCTATGAATTATCATTAATATTATCAAATGAACAATATCTAACGCAATCATTGAATAATACACAAATATCATTTTCATCACCTCTCACTTGTATTCATCATGAATTTGCATATCAAGTAATGAAACATCCACAGAAACTAGCTGTTGAATTGGATGAACAATCTCTAACATATGCTGAACTTCTATTTTATGTTCAAGTATTATCTTTGCATTTGATTAAGAAACATCATGTTGTTCCAGGTGAAATTATTTGTCAATGTATTGAGCGAAGTTTGTCAATGGTAAATCCCTCGAGGAGATTTTTCTTGTAACGATGTTATGTGTAATATTTTTCTTGTAGGTCATTGGTATTTTGTCAATAGCTACGGTTGGTAGTGCGTATTGTCCATTATCAGTACGAGATCCTCTACAACGTCGACAAGCTCTTGTCAATCAGACTCAGAGCCGTTTAGTTTTGGTTCATGCAAGTACACCAGCTATTTTCAGCTTCGACAATCTAACTCTAAATATTGACTGCGTTATTCATCTCGCAAAAAGATTTAGTGAAATTAATCTCAATGAACTTTCCAATGTTTCTGTAACACCAGAAAATGTTGTCTTTGTAGTTTTTACAAGTGGTTCAACTGGTATTCCAAAAGCGGTTTATATAATAACTGTTTTTCGTTATGTATTGTCTAGCGCTTTTTTCTTAAAATAGGTTCAACTGCGTCATCGAAACTTCACTGAGTTTATGCATTCATTTATGAATATTGATATAGTAACAAAGTCTGATATAATAATACAGATGGCTCGGTGCTCTTTCGACAATCATCTGCTAAGTTTAGTTGGTACATTGGTTGTTGGAGCCACATTAGTGATGCTTCGACCGGAAGGCAATATGGATTTACAGTATCTTGCCAGTGTGCTTGATCAAAAGCAGATTACTGTCATGCATGCTGTTCCGTCGCTTCTGAA